CCAGCTCCCCCTGCCCTGTCCCCCCAGCAGCCCTCGATGCGCCCCTGCTGCCCAGCGACGACAGCCTAATGGTGGATGCCACCGACATGGACCCGACACTCGTGTTTGACCAGGAGGAGCAGGTGGGCAGTGCAGCCCTGGCATGGGGCTGGGGTGCCCTGGGCCCCACTGCTCCAGGGCTTGGTCTCGGGGCTACTCCCTGCTGCCTGGCAGCTGCTGGGCAGGGGCCTGGGTGGGAGACATGCCCGGGGGCCCCAGCTGCTTGGAGCCCTGCCCACAGGGCACAGAGGGACACCCAGTACCTGCCTCCCTACCCCCCGAGCCCCTTTCCCCCGGCTGACTGCCTCGCTCAGTTTGCAGCGAACAGGGTGTTCAGCCGCGGCAGAGTCGCTGCCACCTACGACCAGGACGCTGCTCCGCCTGCCCAGGACAGCGTCTTCAGCATCAAGTCCGAATATGAGCTGGCAGCCGAGGGCCCTGAGCCCAGCACCAAGGGAGACACTAGCCATGCCCAGCCCTCCGCACCGGAGCAGGAGCCAGAGCTGGAGGTGAAGCTGGAGCCGAAACCAGAGCTGAAGCTGGAGCTGAAACCAGAGCCAGACCAGAAGCAGAAGCCAAAACTGGAGCTGAAACCAGAGCCAGAGCCAGAGCCAAAGCTGACACCAGCGGTGGAGCTGAAGCCGGAGCAGGAGTTGGTTGGTGAGTGCTGGGGAGAGGCTGGAGCAGGGGGTGGGGGTTCGGGGTGAGGCTGTGGGGGGCGGGGAGGGGGTGTTCTCTGGCCCTGATTCCTACCCCAGGTTCATGTGGCTGCAGGGTGGAGCCAGGGCTCCCAGGTGCCCACAGCATTGAGCAGCCGGGGGTCACTGCTGAGCACAGCCAGGTGCCTCCTGCCACACTGCTCCGTGCAGGCAGCTCCCCACTGTTCAGTAACCCAGCGGCTGTCCGTCCATCCATGCATCCGTCCCTCCATCCATTTGTCCGTGTGTCCTACAGCTGGAACAACACAGGAGAACAAAAGCGAGGGCCCGAGAGAGCCAGGGGAGAAGCTGCCCGTCCCGATGGAGCAGGTAGCCCCAGCCCAGCCCCTCGCCAGGGCTGTAACTCGAGGTGGGGGCACAGCAATGCTGTCATCCCAGCATTGGCAGAGGCATTGCCTGGCTGCACAGTCCCCTCTGGGCACAGGGGCAAAGGGACTTGGCCGTGGTCACTGAGAGAGGCAGTGGCAGAGCAGAGCAGGGTGTCTGATGCTCCAAGAGGGGTTGGACCAGACTCCCTCACCTGCTAGGAGGAAGAGCAGTGCCCTAGGCTGGCGGGCAGCTGGCATCTTGGCATGAGCATGCAAAGGCCTCTGCTCCAGCCAGGCACTGCACCCTCTGACCCCTCCTCCCCCCAACTGACTCCTGTCTCTAGGCTATGCCCGCAGGCCCCAGCACAACACAGGCCGTGATCCCTGGCCCCACGCTCACGGCCGCCCCGAGCCCCGCCACTACCGTGGCCAAAGGCATCCAGGCCCTGTTGGGCTGCAAGGTGGGGCAGCTCGTGCTGCGCAGCATGGACCGGGCGCTGGACACCTCTGAGGAGTGGCTGGGCCG